ACTCTATTATGGTTTAGTTTTGAGTGTTTAGGAGTTTTAGGTGTCAAAACATTTTTTAGGGTTTAAAATTTTAAGATATAGACTTTATAAATTTATAATTAATGGCATTTTTTGTAAATGAACATCCCTAAGTGGTATTCTTGCAAATGTGCACACAAAAATGGTATTTTTGTAATTGCTCCAAAAATATTTCACATGTTGATGCGTTTGAATTCAAAATTTAGGAGCAAATTAAATTTGTATCCTTTTTACCATATTAGACAATTATTAATTTGCACATGCATCTTTGTAGTTTGAACGAGTTATGACGCAATATTTATGTGGCCATATAAACTACTCTTTTTTTTTTTTGGTTAAAGCCATATAAACTACTCGAAGGTTTTATGTCTTGCCTGTTAAAAGTTCACTTGTTTACTAATTAATCGTAATTTGTCTGGAAAAGAAAAATGTATATACAAGGTGTCGCTATTGTTAATCAACAGTACACTAATTAGATTTGAAGTGCATGGTTTACGAAAAAACCGGGCCGTGTAAATGTCGTGTTGATGAGTCAATGCCTCGTCACGTGAGATCTTTAAGTCTTAATCACTCACTGCGTTACAAGATCTCCAAATCAAACAAAATATAGTTTAGTTTTACGGTGAAAATGAGATAACAAAGGGACCACACCATCAATAAAACAAGTTTTTTTTTTTACTGTTGAGAAGAAAATATAGTTCTCTATATCTACTAAAGTTCCAAGTTATTGTTGATTAATAAACGCTGTGATTAGTGCAAAACAAGCTGTTGATATGATCGGTGCTGAACAAAATCTCTATATGTCAACAAGATGAATAGATGATCATGCACCTCATCTTCATATATACTTTGACGATAAATCATTCGCGCTATTAATCATACTAGTATGTCGGTTAAGAAAACCATTTTTAACAACCACAATATTACGAGTTGAAATATAAAATCATCATAAAAGCTTATGTAAGAACTGAATGATTTTACTATTTAATGCATTTTTCGAACCATGATTCTTCAATTCTTACGGCAAAAACTCTCCAGCAACTCGTCACTGCTTATGTACATTGTTAAAAAATAACATATTCCATAATTATATTGTCACTTTTGGTATCCTTTTAGATTTTTTATTTATTTAAGTAAAATATTATGGACATCACACATGAGTCATGATTGGTACATCCATGAGATTGAAATATTTATTCATAAATATCTATTTTTGGAACGAGTAATTAACTGGTCGAACATGACTGTAGATAGATCATAGAGTACCCGAACCTCAAATAATAACAATAGAAAACTAATTTCATGAGATAAAGGGATAAAATAATGCAATACATCGAAAAGAATCAACAAGATCAAGAGAGTTGGTGAGTTAGAACATAGAGTAGAGCAACCCGTGATGGGCAAACTGGAAAATCGGTGGTGTCTCCGACATGTAATGAGACAAAATAAGATTTGGTTTTAAATACATCACATGTGATCACTCGATTCACTTTCATTAGACGAATGTGAATCTATCAGTTTCACACATTTACCACAATATGCGTGAGGTTTGACTTTTACTCCATATTTCGTAGAGTGTCATGTAAATTAAACAAAATATTATCAACCATGTATTTTTGGTTACTATTCCACTACAAAAAAACTGTAATTTAGCGTCGGAATTTTTTCGACGCTAATATAGCGTCGAAATTGCGTCGAAGTTGTGTCAGTCTACATATTCGACGCTAAGTAGGGTCGAATAAATTCGACGCTAAATCGATGCTAATGTTGCATCGATTTAGCGTCGATCACGTAGCGTCGAATATAGCGTCGAATTTGCCTCAAATTGGTAGGTAGGAGACACATTAAAAACGAGTTTACCTACCTGGGTGCAAAATCGACGCTAATTCGATGCTAAATTCGACACTAAGGTATTCGATGCTAATTCGATGCTAAATATTCGATGCAAAATCGTTGCTAAATCGCTGTTAAATTCTCCTATATATACTCAACCCCCCGCATCGCTTGAATCAGTCCACCATTTTAAAAAAAAAAAATTTCGAAATTTTTTTTTTTTTTCAAAATTTAGAAAAAAAAAAAATTCGAAATTTTTTTTTTTTTTACAAAATTTAGAAAAAAAAATGGGGGATATATACGAACTCCGACGCTGGATGTATCAACGTAAAGATGCAAATGGAGGGCTTTCAGAAGAGTTCCTCAATGGCCTTGAAATTTTCGTGGCTCCAGCGAGTAGTATGCCTACAATTCAACGAACCGGAGTGATGGTGTGCCCGTGTCGGAAGTACAAAAATTCGAGGACGCAGACA